GCGCAACCAGAATTTGCAATATTCACTTGTAGCTGATAGGTCGCGCTGTGTCAGATTCTGGCTCATGCTACATGGTTGGGATTCTCCGGGTAGAATGAGCGGCCGACATACGTGCCACTGCCTTTCCAGAAGCTAAGATTCGCACTGTTTGAGGCTGCTTTTTTCACCCCCCAGCATACAATACCTGTCTTCGGGCTTGGATTGGCAATTGTGTACTTTAGCTTTTTGATTACAGGGGTAAGATTGTTCAAGCGTTGGATCATCCATGATTATTATCCCATCTAGTTTGCCGGGCGAAAAAGTGTTCATAGGATGCCCTCCAAAAGAAATCCCGGCCATCTCAGGAGTTTGGCCGCAATCAGAACAGTTAATTCCGTCATTCTGTATATATTCTGTAAAAGTAGCCAGCAAATGTTCTCCAATGATATCGTTTTAGTCTTCCTTCGCCATCGCCTTGCTGTTAGCTCAGTGGGTTTCTCGCCGCCTTTTCCTTGTAGCAAGCTTGTGGGTGGTTTGTGCCAGACCGGACCTTTTACCAAGAGCACGCTCGCGGACTACGTGCGCCCCATCAGACCTTGTCCCTGGACATAGCCGCATATAGCAAGCAACTCCTTCGCCAGAAGAAAGCAAATCATGAACAAGAAATTCAAAGAACCCATCGTGATTCCACTTCCAGTGAATCTTCAGTAGGCTCCAAATCGACAAAAGCAGGTACAGTGCGTACAGTTGTCCTACCACATAGTGCCCGGCCCGCGCCGGGGTGGAAGTTTTGAAAAAATAAAACTATTACAGGGAGAAATTTGCCTCTAGGAAGATTTCTGAGATGCAGAAGCAACGAAGTCGTTGTGAGGTGCATCAACGAACTAGCAAATATAGTGGTTGAGATGCCAATGAAATGGCATTGAAAAAACAATGCGCAAGTCACGGGCTGAATCAGCGAACCAATGAGTCGATGAATCAGCGAATGGCTGAAGGAACAAAGCGATGATTCAATGAATCAGACGATGACGACAAAGCAACCAATCAATGAATCAAGGAGTCAGTGAACCAATGCAGCATCGAAGCAATCAGCCACTGAATCAACGGATGAGTTAAGTAGTGAGTCGATAAATCAATGAATCAACGAAACAATGAAGCAGTGAAGAAGTGATTCAGTGAAGCGATGATTCAGTGGATCAATCAATGGATCAATGAACTCCATGAATCAGTGAATCAGAGAAACAGCGAGCCAACGAACCAATGAATCCAATAATCAGTCAATCAACCAACCAATCAATCAATCAATCAGCCAGTCAGTCTGTCAGTCAATCAATCAATCAACCAATCAGTCAATCAACCAATCAATCAACCAATCAATCAATCAATCAGTCAATCAACCAACCAATCAACAAGTCAATGACGACGAGCCAATGAATCGATGAATCGATGAGTCAGTGGATCATTGAACCAATGAACCAATGAACCAATGAACCCGTGGATCAATCATTGAATCAATGAACCAGTGAGTCACTGAGTCAGAAAGTCAATGCATCAATGAATCAAATAATCAATGAAAACAATTTGGTGAATCAATGGCTGCATGAATCAGTGAACCAATCATTCAATGAATCATTGAATCAATGATTCAAACAGCCCGTGGATCAATCATTGAACCAATGAATCAATAATTAGTAATGCAATGAAGCACTGAGCCAATAAACCAATTAATCAATGAATCAACAACCCCGCGAAAGATTCATGAACAAATGAACGGGTGAATGAATTTGATGGGTGGGTGGATGGATGGATGAGTGAGCTACTTTTCTTTGTTGAGCTACTTCTTCACTGAGCGACCTCTTCGCTGAGGCACCTCTTCTCTCAGCTACTTCTCTGAGCAGCCACTTATCTGGGCAACCTCTACTCTCATCTGCCTCCCAGCTAGCTCTCCTGCAGCTTCTGCAACCCACTTCTTCTGTTTGTGCAGCTGTTACAATGCGTTTAACACCCTCCAGCTGCAATCCCGCTTACCAGGAGTTTCGTAGCATCACTCATGCTTTGCCGCGCGCAGCCGTGCCAGTGCGTTTTGTCACAACCGCTTGCAAGCCCGAATAGCAGGAGCGCCGCGCTGAATAGACCAACGTTCGCGCAGCGCTGGCATTATTGGGGACTCGACAACGCAAATCCGACGCCGCTCCGATCCCCGCAGTTTTTTTTGCAATATTTATGTGAAACCGAGCTCTCGCCACAGTCTCGTTCACATTTTGCCGACCTATTTTCCAAAAGTGCTCAGATTCCGTCAGTTTCTTAACATCCTTAGATTCTTCAAAATATGTTTGGAATTGGTTTGAAAATATCAATGCTCCACCTATAAAAAAAATTGTGTGAGCCTGCGTAAGTAGATAAAATAGATCTAGAATTTATAGTTGTAGTATGTGTACATCTAGATCACATGCACCAAGGTCCAATTTCGCTTATTGTTTGGAGACCCAGGCGCCGGTCTACAATTCGGACTCGGACTGAGCCAAACCCTCGACAAATGCAGCGCGAGGGTTCGAAGACATGCCTTTTGTACCTTACAACCTCAATACAAAATGTCCCGAGCGAATTGTTTTTAATTACTGGATCTCTCAACTTGGCCCCCTTGTGAAAGTTGCATTTACAATATTAGAGTACAGTAGTTGGGCGGGTTGGAACCAGAAAATTGAGCAGATGCAGCAACAGAATATTGAGGTGCAGTTGTAAAAATGACGAGGCCGGAAATGATTGTTGATTAACACTGATTCCCGGCTGCTCGGAGTGATGCTACCAACATGTTGATCAAAGATGAGTTCCTTCATTCAGCAAAGAGCAATACGAAAGGAATGTTTCAATTGTCCTGCTTCGCTCATGATTTTTGAATAATTATTTATTCTTGTGTTTGAACCGAAAATGACCGCTTAGCGGCTTAGCACTTCTAAACAGATGGTTTGCCCTATCGAAGGACCTGCTTCTAATTCCCAGACATTTTGAAACATACATGTTTGCTCTTACGTGGGGTGGTGATCCCGATGTATTACCACATCTGCTGTTTCTGAGTTGGTTTGAACCACGAACAAAGTATTATTTTCAAACATTTTTCAAGATTATAAATCCATTCCAGGCGACAGCAAGGAAAACCCACTGCAGTCTTCGCATCCTGAGTGGCCAGAGCTGGGAAAAATATATCGCAGCCATTTTGAAACGTTGGTGTGTTGAGAAATGGCAAGTCTTGGCCCAGATCCATAGGTTGACCATTGCATTCCAATCTATTTGATATCCGATTAGGCCTATTGTCGACCTTGCAACATGTTCATCCCACTGTGCTTGGATGATGGCCGAAATTAGTTACATAAACATGTCAGATATGTTTGTACCATGGCTGGGTGTGTTCTCAACTACTTGATTTCAATGTTTGGTAAATTGCTTAGTGATTTGGGCGTCTTTCCCTCCCCAACGAACCATAGATCCCAATTTCCAAAATCCAAGTAGTGTTCCTGTCCACTTCAACCAGGTACCGGCTGCGCAGCTGCAGCGTTTAAGCCATCCTACGGTACTGTTCACAGAAGAAATGGCCGCGGCTTGAACAACCCTGGTGTTCTGCAACGTGGCTTACACTCGTTGTAAGTTCGTTAAAACTAACCAATCTAACTCACTATATAGTATATTTTGGTTTGAACGACCAAAAACCCTAGTTAGGGTATAATTTAATAAAAAGTCAGCTTAACTCAATATCGGACACCACAGTGTAGTCGATAGTATTTTTGCGTTTTATGGAACAGTGATGCCAGATGATCCCAGCTATAGTAAGTTTGTTCACAAAATGTGGTTGGCACTTGAAGCACGCCTTGAATACTTTTGAATGGGATATCATAAAAAAGGTAGCTTACTGGTAATTTGGAACCAGTTAGAACTTAAGAACTGAAGCTGGAATGCGCATCCAGTGGCCGGAGATATTGATCGATTCCCAGCGCATATTTCTTGCATTGCATGAAACCACCAGCATCATGAATCCCAGTGAGATCCCTGGAGTTTTTTTCAAGTGAACACCCAAGAATGAACCACTTTGCTTAGGAAACCATGTCGACACTGCATTTCACATGTTCCATTGTCATGTTTACTTTGGGAAGGTCCCCAAAAGGCTAATGTGACTAAACATCCAATTTGGACACGAACCACGAACCACATGATAGGTTGGCAATCAGCTAGCAGCCAACCATTGCTGTAGTAGAGACCATGTCCCCAATTAGGACCAGCCAAGAAAAAACAGTTTGTCCTTGAACAGGGTAAATGGAAATGTGTTTTCATGTATCAAATCATGTTAATCCGAAAAAACGTTTTAATTTGCTTCAGTTCTTTGTATTTTTAGAGATGTTTTCAAATTTTGAATTTTGCAATAATAGGGCTGCTTCAACCTCTTTTAGCAGTATTTGGACAAACCTCCTGCGCTGATTATTTCGGGCTCAAGACAACAGCTCGTGTGGCCCCAGCTTCCCGGTAGACCCAGGCGTGTGACCTGATGATTCCATTGGGACCTCACTGTGGGATACCACATGTTTTGTTGTCAAGGAATCCACCCCCATGTTTTTAGTTTACATATGAAAAGTCATGAGCACTGTAGTAGAGACCATGTCCCCCAAGGAGAGGACCATGCCAAAGAAGACCGTTTGTCACAGTTTGTCCTTTAAGAATTTGGCTTAATTATTCGGGTTGCAAATGAGCACAACTGATTGTTTGCGGCATGTGTTACACAAAATGTGTCCTTTGCATGTCCTTCGCAGCACAACACGTCGATGACGGACGGCGGCAGACTGCGTCCTGTGCCCCTCCAAAGTTTGGCTCCGCCCATGTCCAGTGTGGCCCCCCCAGTGTACCCGATTGCTTCAGCTAAAGTTATTTCATCACCTAAAACCTTAGTGAACCTACTGATGTCTACCACCTTAGCAGCCATGTTTCCCGTTGCATCCTCCAGCGCAGACGTCGTTCTACTTGAAGAACGCCAAGTCATGTCGCGGAAGTTCATCGTTGGTGGCAATTGGAAATGCAATCCGAAGACCTACAAGGCACGGGGCTGACATATTTTCCAGGGGTCTGGTGAATCCAATTTTCATGATTGTTAAGATTGCGGTTAGTTTCCCAAAGTGGATTGCAATACTTTGTCTATCTTTGTTTGGTTTTATTTGGATAGAATCGCGCCTTGACTGCCAGCAAACATAGGGTTACCCACTATTCAAATACAGGTTTTTACCAACAAGAAACGGGGATACAACAGCGAAGAGGGATTAAAGAGGGACACCATTAAAGAGGGACACCCAATAGCATACCATAGAGAGAGAGAGAGAGTCAAAGGTGAAGATAAAAATCGCAACGCCCAAATAGGAAGCTTTCAATGATGAGCCCCCACATGAATAGATCCACTACTATAAATCAGGATCATCAGGGCGGTATTCAATGTTCAGCTGAAGAAGGTATACCTCTGTTTTTTTGGGAGAAAAGTTACGTTACCTTCCAGCAGGGATGTACACAAAGCATACTCAGGAGAACTTAACATCTTACCATACCCCATGGTACTACAGTACATACAGGTATTCTCAACGGCTTTAACACATTGCCCAGCACCACTAGTGGGCTTATGTGAAGTCAATGAGGGTACCAGGGGCTCTTCCAAGCATTGTTCTTGCTTCGAGTTCAAAGAAGTAGACTCTACAGGCCTGTTCATGCTTGGCACGGGTTGGGATCTGGTTAGAAGTCGCGTGCTCAAATTGTATGTTTTTATTTTTTAAATATACATTTAATTTATGTCATATATACATATACATTTATATTTATATATATATATACATCAAACATTTGTGGTGATCCCGGGGCCTGACCCATGCTGGCCATGGCAATGCCAGGAATGCAATGAGTTGTTGAAGGCATGGAAGCATCTTGGCCAGAAATCGATGGTGATCCAACAGCAAACAAACATGCAGGGTCCCTGGGTGAGGCACCTTGAATTCCTTGGATATAGCTTAGTTGACTTACAACATTGGTTACTAGGGTTTAGGGCAGTTTAGGGTGGATATAACTAACCGACTTATGACCAGGGTTGCAATCGAAGGGTATAGTGCGTGATTTCGGGCTCTAATCGGTGTTTTGAATTGGGGTATGACTATCGGTATGGTCTTTGGGTGTGTTCCAATATGGGGTATGATGCGCATATCATGGGTTTATAATCCGACAATGGGGATACCAGGAGGATTTGCAGGGAATACAATGGGACGTAGCTAACCAACAGCCTAAGTGTTTGAAAATTGGTGGCAACTCACTCATTTGGCATTTTGGAAGGAAACCCATAGTAAAGCAATGATGCACCAATTGTAGAAGATTTATACAATTTTCCAGATGGTTGTTTATATCCCCATTCCATATACCCCTTAATTGTATTTATATAATTGTTATCAACTAGATTGAATCCTTGTTCTTGGAGTTGGATGCCCCACATTGTTTCCTTTTTTGGTCATTGGCCACACACTGTGGCTGCTTTGATGTCATGCCCCAACTCGGCCTTTGATGTCCCATGTTTTAGCTATAACCAAACACGCGCTGTCGCTATGGGGTCGGCGGTGAATTGCAGGATGATCATCCTCTGATGAAGCGCTGAAAAGATGGGGCTAAGTTCCCAAAGCCTGCAAGAAAAAATGTTCGGTCAAAAGATGTCACAAGTATTTCATTGCTTCAAGACTTGGATGGCTGCTGTTGTTTCTTTGAAGGCCCAAGAGAAAAGAGAAGCCATGTTTGATAAAACAAACATGATGACTGGGATGCACCTATAACACAGTCAAATAGTCGAAGAGCGGTTGGTATTGCGAAATGTACATGTCAGCGGGCTTTTGGTATGAAGAGTTCGTGTTATTTGTGTAACCGAATGACCCCTGGCAATCAAACATAGCAATGGAAAATTACCCATTTACAGATGATATTCACATTTGAATTCCATTGCCATGTTTGGTTACTGAAAGCGTTTGTTATGCTTTCTCTATGTTTGTCTTAAAATCGGCACCCACCATTCATAGTCGATTTTCTCACTAACACCTCCAGTTGGTTCGGTGATTTCCCAGCTAGCCATCTTTGGTTTCCTGGAGCTTGGACCCAGGAAGGCCTTGCCGAATGTGGACAGATCCAAGGTGGAGGCCAGGAACACCCCAAGGGACACCTGGTGGTTGATGGTTAGTTGTTGGTGAATAAGTTTTAATTGTACATATTTCCTATAACGCACTGCAATGCAAATCAATGTAACGCAATGCAATGCAATGTACTGTAATGTGATACAATGCACTGTTGTGTAATGCAATGTTATGTTGTGTTGTGTTATGCCAATGTGTTTTTAAATGTTATGTTTTGGTTTGTTATGTTTTGTTATGTTACGTTATGTTTTGTTATGCATGTAAAGATAGACATACAGATAAAAATTTTGACAGAGAGACAGACAGACAGACAGACAGATAGATAGATAGATAGATCAATCGATAAATCAATACATGTGTGAATATGTCTATATATATATTTTTATGCAGTGTACATAAACATCTATATTGTTCGCAAATATTTGTGATTGCATGTGCGAATAAATATATGCATTTGAATATATATATATATATAGTTACAATACACACATATATACATATATGGTATATATTTATTGTGTGTATATATATATATATTGTATATGTTATATACTTATATTTTAATGTACTCTTCTTTGCTATTTTGAACAACAATTACATTTATACGAGGGCTGGGGCAGATTTTGTTTGAAGACGATGGGTTGAGAGAGGGCGCGAGAGAGAGAGAGAGAGACACACATATATATATATATACATATTTTGTACATACGCACGCGTACAAGTCTGTTCATGGAGGTCAAACATGACTTACATTTCCTCATAGATTTAAGTTCCTGATGCGATGCTACGCTGTCATGGAACCCCACATGAACCGCAAATAGCGTTTAAGAAAGTATCGCGGTCCACTGGGATAAATTGATCCAATATCACTATCAGAATCAACCACTCGGAAATTGCTCATGGAAAAACATTGCATTTTTTGTGCCTAAAGACGGTATTGCGATCACAACCGACTAGCATTTCTAGCTTACTCTTGCAGAAAGTTCAAACCATTGTTGGGATTTTGCTTTGGGAACCCAAAGAGCTGAGACATGGAGAATCCCAGATTAAACCAAGGAAAAAAATGATGAACAAATGGGCCTGTGTCTTTCAGCTGAGGTCCTCAGCAAGTGTTTTGCAAATGTGACCTGTTTAGACATAATATATATATATATATTATTTTTAATAAATATATATATATATTATTTATAATATATATATATATGGCAGTCGATCTAAAGGTCCTTGTAAGGAGTTCTAATTGCCCAAGCCGTGCGTGTTATGTTGGAAACCCTCGCGAAAGTTTTTTTTCGAAATCGTGAAAGATTTTTTTCGCGAAAGTTTCGCGAAAGTTGGAAATTTTGAATCATTATCATTGTATACATTACAGCTTGTTAAGGGCTACCACCTCCTGCCGCCCGGGGTCCGGCAGGAGAATGGTACCGCACCATAGGTAGCTTCCGAAGGTCAGGCTTCGACACGGCTTCGCCACAGCCAAATACCATGGTCTTGAAGCGCATCCTTGCACCTGCCACCTGGTACTGTCTGAAGTTGCTTTCTGAAGTCCCAAGAAACAAGCTCCAGATGGAGCAGCCAAGCTTCCAAAAGTGAGGCTTTGCGAGAGCCAAACACCAAGGCCCCTGGTGTTTGCTTTTCCTCTGATGCGCCCCCTGCTGATGGCTGGGGTCTGCGGATTGGGGTATTTTCGCGAAAGTTCTGCGAAAGAGTGGGCCCAGTAAGCCTTGCAAAAAATTGCCTTATCAGCAACAACCTGTCCTGAGAAGGGTATTCCGCGATGCTAGCTGGATGTTGACAGGCTATGAAGAAGTTATCCGCGATAATTCTGTGTGATTTGGCAGGTGGTGGATGAATCTCATAAGAGGAATTGTTGCTCAACATGGATTCCACGAAAGATAAACATGGAGTTCGCGAAAGATTCGCGAAATATTTGTTTTCGAAGAATGGCCGTTCCCGGATAAAGGAATTTTGATCAACCATCGTATATATACATATATATGTTTTTTGGCTTTTTATTTTACATATTCTATACACATACTTGTTTATTGATAATGCTATATGCGCAGCCTGGCTGGCTGAACTTTGAGGGATGGCGCTGGAAACAACATGTGTGTGTATGTACGGATCTAATTGGCGGAACCCGCGGAAGGACGTCACTCATCTCAAAAGGATTGGCATCAGTGGATGCGGCGGTCGCAGAACTGCATCAGAACAGTGGAGTGGCAAGATTTTGGATGATGCGCTCCGCGCATCATAAAACATCAGGAGAGCGCGCGTATTTTTCAGAACGCCTCATGATTCTCCATAGTATAACCATGCATTCAGCATGTTTCGCCATTTTCGGATTTTTTTGATTGGAATCAGTACGTCCACACATATTTACACATATATTACATACATATATGCGTTGTCTAAGCATAGAGAAACACATAAACATATAATTAATTATAATTTATGCATATGTCAAATTACATATAAGTGTACATCGCCCAGGCTTCAAATTGACACTTCCAACAAAAGGTTGGTTTCGAAGTTGAAGACTATTTTTCCCAATACCAACAACAACCCATTGTGAAATCACTGTGAAGGTGGTGATTTGCCCGCCGGCGTTGTGGCTCACGTCCTTCACTGAATCCTTTGAGGCATTGATGGCATTGGTGAAGTATCGGGATTGGGTACAAATTGGTTTGGTATGGTTGGATGAATTTACAAGGGCTGACTTTCGGATAAATTTTGTATATTTTTTTCTGGTGCAACATTCCACTAAAAACACGTGTGTTTGCTGTAAATTTGATAATAACATTTACAGTGTTGATGGACTCTGTGTGCATCAGGGGAAGTCGGCCTGGATGGTGGATTGATATAGTTGGGGTTTCTGGAGTCTATACCTCGTGAGGGTTGGGCATAGTTCAACCCGCCCAACCAGGGACTTGGCTTTGGCGTTTGTGCCCAGAACTGTGGCAAGTGTGGCTGCTCAGATTTGACTCGTTTCGGTCTAGAGCTGATGGAATAGGTGATGTGAAAATCATTAGTGCCCTAAAGTTGAATGGTTGGATTGGTTTACCAACTTACACTTGGGGGCACCACATTGTAGAAGGATGGTTCAACATTAAGACACTGATACTGTCAGAACAGAGTGACATATCAATAGCTCAATTTCGGATAGATAGGTAAATACACACAAGATATGAACCCATAGGCACCCAACCCGTTTAGACCACCGGATACAAAGGACTGCATGTGTTTGTAAACAATTATGTACAAAAAATATCTTTACAGATATATACACAACAAATGGACACATTGGTGCACACATGTTTTGTATACATTTCATGTACTGTGTGTGTGTATATATATATAGATATAGATATAGATATATATATATATACAAAAAGTGTGTGTGTGTATGTGTGTGTGCGGGTTTGTGCCACCTGCCCAATGGTATAGGCAGTGCTTTGCTAAAAGGACTATGTACTGGTTAAAATCTGAGCCTGCTTTGAGCAAGGGGGCAATCTTGCGAATCGAGTCATACACATCACAGCTTCATTTTTGCAGACGGGTAGTATCTAGGGTTGGGAATTTAAAAGCCAGATAAATTCCCATGCCGTGAATCACCATGTCATCAACTATGGATAATCGGCACGCATTACTATCACCAAGTGCTCAAATCACCATGTCCATTTGAGCAATAACATAACATATTTGGGTAAATTATAACGACCTCACTACGACCTCACCATAGATGATGGTTAGTAAGGGGAATGATCCAGGTGTGAGACCTTAATTCATCTTAGTTCAAGTTTGTGAAATATAGTAATTTACCCATTTTGAATACCCAAACTCCAAAGAAAACTGTGGCGTTCTCCGGATGTCAGGACCGATGCAGGTGCCTTCACTGGAGAATGGACGGCAGCCAACCTGGCGACCTGGCACCCACCGAAATTGCCACATTTTTGACCGGTGAAAGGACGACAGGTTGCGACGTGGGAATGGTAATTACCATATGTGGGAATAGTGTATACTAGGGATATTGTAGAACTCTCGAAAATGAATTTAAGATAATTTAAGTCACCCTTGTTGGAATTCGATTGACTGATAGGTTGGAGGACATCACCTAGATCAACTATTGGGATGTGAAATTGCCATACGATGTTTTTTTAAATACACTTAAAATATATTAAAATGTCATTGGAATGGGATGGCAATTAGGATGATGAGATGATCGTATACAAATTCAACCCCCAAGTATATACACGTACAACCAGAACAGGTGGCTAGTATAAGATAGAAATATGCATGTGGATGGTTTGTGATCGTGGATCCCTCATTAGAGATGTATGTATATATATATATACATGTAACAACATATACTATTTGTATAATATATATTATTTTTATACATATGTATATATATGTATGTATGCATGGTGGGTCTCCAGTTGCCACCTTTGTCGCTCATTAAGCCTTTTAAACTCTGTATATATATAATCATTTAATCCTTAATTATTGGAGTTTAACACCTTGTACCAGTCTTCGGTACATCAATGTATATGAGTGAAAAAAAAAACATGGATTTGGTGGGCACCGCATGCTCCCATTTTTGTTGGATCGATGTTTCCCTTTTGAGCTTCAAACATGTCATTAGGCAACAATGGCCTTCTCCAAAGTCTGCATTTTCTCGTTTTCTCCATGCGTTGGTCAAAACTTGGTAGAATGCCCATATTAGTGGATGGTCATCAATCCATAGGGAGTTGTAAATATGTGTGTCAGGCTTCCCATTATGGGATGGATGACCATACCACACTAGTCCTCTGTTTTGATGTCACAGATGCACCGAGTTTTCCCACTGAGTGCAATGACCTCAGGTGGATCTTGGCCTGAAGTGGACCTTGCTAGGTGGCTGATGGGGGTGACGTATGAGTTCTGAATCGCTTAGAGGTCAGGAGGGGGTTCAAACATCGAGAAATTTATGCTGGGAACATCTGGGAAACGTGATGGAAACATGATGATTCCAATCGGGTTGTACAGAGATGGATAGGTTTGTATATTTGGTGGGAGAGGTATAGTTCTTGAGCATTTTCTCGGTGCCAAGAATTTGGATTTTTTGCTGAACTTTCCAGGCCGAATTTCACAAGCTAGTTTGGAAATCCTTTCAGAATGGTTCTGTTTTTCAATGTCTAGATTTTGTCCAAACCCCTATCAAATACATTCAAATACCATATGACTGGGGGGTATAGACATCCATAGATCTCAGCTATTTTAGACTGATAAACCCGGGGGTTCCGCGGGTCTTGATTCACAGCCAAATGGGATTTCCTGCCCATTCATTCTGAGATGTCGTCCAATGAAACCGGTGAACCTTCGATGTTTACTCGTTTATAATAGTTTATAATGTCAAATTCTCATTATATAATCATTTTGTTCAGTAGATTCTGCAAGATTTTTCTATGAAATCCCAGGTGTCTTTGTCAAATCCCCTAAGTTGTCCCAACAAAAAAACGCAATCGCCTCCTGCTAACAGGGCATTCGGAGCGTCGTAGCTTGTACGGGGAGACGGACGAGGACGTGGCCGAGAAGGTGGTGAAGGGGATGTGGGGATGCCTTCACCAAGATATGCGTTTTGGTGCGGATCCCATTGGAAAATGATGATGTACTGTGCCCTCTGGTAATTTAACATAACTATATATTGAAAATCATAATTTTTAATGGGAAAATCCACTATAAATGGCCATTTTCAATAGCTATGTTAGTTTACCAGAGGGTAACAACCAAGATGGTTTTGGTGCTCAAGAGTTGGATGCTCAATTTTTCACAACAGGAGTTTCAATAAGCCACCGGCCAACATCGCAGGCTGGTGACACCCGTTGCACCAGCTTGGATGGCCCCCCTAAAGGGACTGAAAGTTATATCTTTGAGTCGTAGCAGCGACGCCCAAAAACGCACATAATATACATATTTATATATATATATGTATATACATATATATATATATATGTATGTATATATATATATATATGTATATACATATATATATATACACATATTATATAAAATATAGATCAACCCCGATCAACCCATAGGAAAACTTATTTTGGCTCCCAAACGCCTTGGCACCAGGTGGGCAAGTGCCAAGAGGCCGGACTTGGCGTGATCCTCTGCATCGGTGAGAAGCTGGAGGTCCGGAGGTGGCTTTTTTTGGGCGTGGAAGGCATAAGGTTATTGTAGATGATGGTTATCTATTTTGTTTATATGTATTTATATATATATATACACATATTTATATTTATCTACTTATGTTTATTGTTTGTTTGTTGTTTGTTTTTTGTTTGTTTATCATTGTTTGTTGATCATGTGTTTTCGGCGTTTGGTCATGTTAAACATCATGCGTTTATACCTATAGACGATTTGTACGTAGTGTTTTCTGATGGTTGATGATGTTTGATTATCACCATTCAGCTACCTAGATGAATTGAAGATGTGGTGTTTTCTATTTATATTTGTTGGACACTGTTTATCATCATAGCTGAACTGTCATGGAGGCTCAGTTTCACAGTTTGGTGATCTGGGCACACCTTGGTTTAGGTAAGATGGATTTTGTTTTCTTTCAGCCATATATGGAGATGTATCTAATGTATCTCCCCTAGATCCTGCAAGAGTTTAACTTTGTGCGGGGTCCTACGGCTAGCCATTTCAGAGCCACTTGAATTGCACTACTCCAGGAACGTGAAGGTGGAAAGACGGATGAGGTGCAGAGCCAACACCTTTTCTGCCACAGCTGAAGTGATATTTAGAAAGTTGTCCAAGATAGCCCTAAAAATTGCAGGGTTGAAACCATGATTGCCTGAAGCTTCAGTCCGTTGAACCAATCCATCTTGGTTGCACTTAAAAATCCCAATGTTCGTTGGTTAAATCCCGGATGTTTTCGGTTCAAAGCCTTTTTGGCTTGGATAAATGTAAAAAATCACCATTTTCAGAGGCTGTTTGGATCCAACCTGTGGTCCCAACCGCGCAGGTGAACAAGCGACAGTTGGGCGCCTGCCTTCCCAAGATCAAGGAAGCACTGCGCTGGGCAGGGCTACTCTGGTTGTGGGGAAGCATCAAATAGGGAGGGGACAGAAGTGGGTTTTAATAATGCGATAGATCATCAACAAATCCAACAGTTCGACACGGTTTTGTTATGCTTTATTTGGAAATAGGGAGAAAAAGACATGCCATGTTTGTTGCTTCGAAGTATATATCGATGAAGTTCAGACTTAGAGTTTCAGGGGCATTCTCAGCGAGGATTGGGACAAGATCGTGATTGCTTATGAGCCTGTTTGGGCCATTGGCACTGGCAAAGTGGCGACTCCCGAACAGGCGCAGCTGATTGCTGATTGACCAACTGGACCCGAAACCTGGACCCCAATAGGCTGTGGAATATTGGCAACTCGCCAATAGCTACAGTAGATAAGTTGGAAACCTGAAGATTGTGGGGAAAAAACATCATCTATACAGTACCGTCCTGGAAACACTTTTCTATTTTGGGATTACTCTAGAGTGATGTGATTGCTTTTGGATGTTTATGATCCTGCATCCGGATGGATGTACATCCCTGGTGGAGTCGCGCTGTGATGGTGAAGGCAAGTGGAAATCCCCCGTCATGTCAAAATATCCCATCATAGGGATTTACCCTCTGGTAAACTAAGATAACTATGGAAAATCACCATTTTCAATGGGTAAATCCACTATAAATGGCCATTTTCAATAGCTATGTTTGTTTATCCAACAATATCCCACCCGCAGGTAAACTAACGTTTTGCTGTGGAACACGCATGGTTACCCGTTCAGAAAATGATCTACATTTCCGATGCTTTTCCACATCTATGTTAATTTGCCAGAGGGGCATCATAGTATGGCCAATTTTATTTTTGTACAATAGCTTTGCTAGCCATCAACATATGTATATATATATATATACAATATATTTCCAGCATTTTCCAGCTATGCATCTCATATTATGATACATGGGTTAATAGAATATTCGATGTGCATAAGAATCTATCCCATATCCATGATGGTACTGGTAAATCAATAGTAAGACCATGACTATATATATATATAGTCATGCATATGCATACTGTATATGCATATATATATACAGTATATGTGATATATTTGCTGTCTATTTTGGGTACTAAAAAAATATTAATAGAATATTAGTACATATGCATATCGCAAATACATACTAGGGATTCTCATATTGGCTTAGCCTCGAGGCCGAGGAGACTCAGAAGGCGATTCGCGCCTACCTCTCCCAGGTCGCAGCTGTCGACTAGATTATGTACATCCTTTTTGTGGCTAGATTTGGCTAGAAATTTGATTAGCATAACATATTGGCATATGTTTGCTGGCATGTTTTTTTTTCCCTCTTGGGTTGTGGGATCTGAAATTGGCTCATGTTAATACATTGAAGTCCAGCGGACAGGTTTCGTCCACCGTTTCGTCCCTCCACAGGGAAAATGTCCTCTGACAAAGGGATGGGGCATTGGTAGCACAGCCCCACTGAACTGTGCCACTAACCACTTCCAGGGGATGCTCGTCCCATCCGAAATAGGCTGTGAGTTCCGCAGTGGCTGAGAAGGCGCATGCGATGGTCTTTTGCTGTGAGTTTGCAGAATCTACGGTATAGCAACCTTAATCGTTTCAAACAAGCAACCGCCAGACATGATGCTTGGCGCTGGGAACACTATAATTTGTATTCCCTAAAACCATGTGTTTTGATATGTTTTGCACGTTTGCTTACAACACCCTACATTTGATGTTGTGTGTTTTGTGTTTTTCCTTGCTTGAAGGGGTGGACAAGTTACAGGCAGGGAACCCCTGAACATGATCTAAGCTGTAAACGGTGCCTGTTTGACAAAGGGGAAAACATTACCCTTGAGGCTAGCAAGCTGGTTCTTTGCTGAGCCGATTATATAAATAAGCAGAAAGATCATATATCATTATTAATCTCTATTTTGAATCATATTATATGTATATATATATATACATATTACTCACATTAGATTATGTATATATATAATACCCCGATCCCAATTTGATTAGTGGATGCATGTGGATTCTAAAAACGCGCTGCAGACCACCTTTGTGATATTTTGTGATTCACTCGGATGAATTACCAAGTGCGATGCGCCAGGTCCGCATCCAGTACGGAGGCAGTGTGAATCCTGAGAATTGTGCTGCTCGGTGGATGAAAAGTTCTGGGTGGATGGGGTGGATCATGACAGGCCAGACCATTTCAGAAGTTCTTGGGTGGTTTGGAAATTTCATGTTTCACCAAAGTTGGAGTTGGAGGTTGAAGAGGTAGAAATGTGAAGACAAGGGTAACAGCTCAATTCGCGTCATTGGTTCAATATTTCGTGGCCCCATCTGACTCTGACCCGTTTGTAGATAAAGCCATAGTTAGTTATATAGGTGTTTTGTTTGCCTTCCTGCGTAACATCATGTGACATCCTGACCTTTAGGCACTTCCCATTTTTACTCTCAAATAAATTCGCCTGAACATGAAGTATATAATTACTTCCAATTCCAGCGAATCATCATCATGTTCTCATCATGTTCCCACTAGAGTTACAACTTCTAGGGTATACCTGTATACCCCATGTTCAGACATTTTCAGACAACCACCCCCCAAGAATAAAATATCATTGGTTATATCTCTATTAGATATCCAAGAAATCCCCTTAAATCCCTATAGTACTCCATGTAAGCGCCTCATTCCCCAAGGCAGAGCTGATCAAACAGCCCAACATCGATGGCTTTTTGGTGCGCTGGCCGCTGGCGTTGCTTCGCGTAGAACGTCACCAAGATCACTCTGACTCCAAAAAAGCGTAAGTTAGCGGAAGTCTTTCAAAACTAATTCTTGAACAAGTTGGGACATTTTTTTTATCAAGCCAAGCGAAACCATTCCGAAAATTCCACCGGGTTTTGCTGATTGGCTGTGATTTTGGCAAGTTCAGGTGGGAGGTGCTTCCCTGAAGCCATCGTTCATGGACATCATCTCAGCTGCCCAGGATCCCAGATCCCAGGATGGTATGTCGAGGGGACATGGCTGTGGAAAATATCGCCATTAGTGGATAAATAGAACCATTAGTAGAAAATAGCCGAGTCCCTTCTTCAAAACTGGCAAAATACGGCAAGTTTTCCTTTCGGTCGGAACATGTTGGCACCAATTTGGAATACTTTTGGCATGTTTCGCCGGAGTGATCTAATTTGGTCCACCTTGGAAGCAGAAGTTGGAAATCCTCAAGGCTTGCAGCGGCTTGCATGATGTTTGCCAGACCCCGTAAGTGGTGAGGTGGGACCATCCAAGATGGTAGAAGTTTGGCCAGCATACGCAAGCAAGATGGAGAAGGCGATCTTGGGTCAACCGGATTGTTTTGGAACATGATGAGGTTGATCGCCAAACACATGGGATGAGGCAGGGATTTTCACATGACTCAATGTGATGTAAATAACAATGGCAAACGTTCAGGTAAACCTTGCCATTTGTGCTAGGTGAGTGGCCTGTTACTCTCCAAAGACTAGCCAGCTAGACATCAACTTCTTCGCATGGTATCTAAGATTGGATGATCTCGGCTCACAGGAGGGCTGCAACCAAGCAGCCATTGATGCCTTCAAGTACAACTTCGGTGTCCTCTCGTCTGGACTGTCCACATTTCCACTGTAGTTGCTGCTGGTTTGAAGATATGATGGTGAAAAAGGAAATCTCGTCAAGTCTCCCCCTTCAATGGTTCCATGTTAATGATGTTCAGTCCCTTTGGCTTTGCCGGTGAAAGACCATCATCGCATATCATCGCTATTTTTTCAGGCTGGAATCCAACAGTTGGCCCCTGCAATCAGATTTTTTTTGCCGGTAAATCCGCATGAGCATTGCTGAATCACAGGTGTGGTTTGTCGAAACCACAGTTTTGCTTGGCCAAAATCACCATTTTTGGTGGTGAATGACTTCCTTATTTGAAATTCAGTAGTCAATTCCCTTTGAGCATCGATCTATTCAGGTTAACTAGGTGACTGGTGGTGAACTAACTCTTAAAATTATGGTTAACATTGGTCAACTATGATAGTTGACTAGAAGTAGGATCATTACCAATGTTAAAAACTCTGAAAATCCTTGGGTTGTTTGGTGATGTTTGGTGGCAGGAGCTGATGTGATGCTGCCAGAATCCAAGCTAGACCCTGTGGAGGCGGGGAGACCGAGGGGCGGCTACAAACTCTATAAACTATAAACTCATAATGGAATAACTTTATGCCTATAGAATATGGTTTAACAGATGGTAGAAATATCCCACAATAGTTGATGTCATATAGAACGTAATGGAGATGATGGATAAGGCATGGTAATGTTGTTGTTTCTTTTTAATCCTATAAGTATAGTGATGATCTAATGATTCATGTTATATGGTATGCTCAAAATTTTCATGACCGGACTTTGTGACTTCAGCTGTGACATGTCTTGACCCACAAGCAAAACAATCATCAAATATGGAGATACAATCCAATTGTGCTGGTTGATATGAATAACTGTTGATTTAGTTTACTGTTCCATAAAGAGGTTTCCCAATAAGCGCATCTATTGGATTTGTTTTGTTTAAGAACAAAATCAGGTAATTCCATAAAAAGGTTGTTTTTCAACCATGCACTTGTTATCATGCTTCAATCAGTTCATTGCCCATATTCACAACGGATCCATGCTAAGTACTGCGCATTGTTCACCGTTGTGCATTCCCGGCAATCCAGCTGCACGTTGACGTTTCGCCGAACTCTTCAGGCTATGAAATCACTGACCCAACGCTTGGGTAAATATGTTCATGGTAACTACCAATGGTATCATAAAAATGGGAAATATTAATGGTAACTACTGTCCAAAAATAGTATTCACATGTAATATATTTATGTCTTTAGTCATATGATAATAATATTTTTCCACTATAAATAGCAATTATTCAGGTGAATTACAAGATTACAAGAGTGTTTATCCGGATTCACCGCTGACATTTCACCATCATTCACGTGAATTGATCCGTTGATCCCTTGAGTGATTTGTATTTCAACAATAGTACCTTAAACTATATGTTTTCATGACGTTCATTCCTCAAATTATCACCACTATCATACTTTCGTGGCATGTCGTTGTGGCATTTTCGGCGCAGTCCTTGCCCACCTACGAGAAGCTGAAGGTGAAACCCGATGCCAGGCGTAGCGATGTCGGCGTAGCTGGGTGATGTTTCACATGACGATGGTTGCGAAATCCTGCACTACCAATTTGGGATGGTTGAAACATGTTGAAACCCTACGAAGAATGGGATAATTATGGGATGTTTACCACCTATCTTAACTGGTGCATGATTTCGCTGGCCCATCCACTGGATTGTGAAACATGGGGAAGGGAACATACCACAATCCATGACTGAGGTTTTTCTTGGAATTGCTATGTAATTGTATGGGAAGCTCTTGCCCAACATCTTACCTTCAGGCTGGTGAAGTAGATGAGTCCTGTCGAACTACCCATAACTCAGGCTTTGCCACGGAATCGATTTTGATTGTGATGCTAGAAGTATGTCAGGGTACATTGTAGTGACGAGTCTCACCAAATTACACGTTTCGTCAGGATTCACAGTGCCAAATTTCTCAAGCACGGGTTTGGCAAAAATCCACAGGCCATTCTTTTGGTTATGAAATTGCAACAGTCCCATGCACTGTGTTGGATCTGTGTTTCTCAAAATCTGGATAGATCCCACCAGTCATGCCTTTGAGTTCCTCACACAACTGGAGGCTTCTGAAAAAGACTTTAATCCTGAAGTTGAATGGCGGTTTGGGCACTGGAATGGGTCAGCCCGGCCGTTTTTGATGGGGAGATGGCTGGTTGCGATCCAGTTTTTTGGTGCGCGCAGGGCCAGTGTTTTTTGCATGTTGGTATGTCGGTGTACTGGCAACTTGGCTGACGAGACTTGTGTTCAAAACACAAAGGCCTAAACCTTAAATCCCGTAGACATGCCAAGTAAGCCTTGAGGGTAAAGTCTGATTAAAACCGTGGTAAAAAAACCCTAAAACATCTTGTTGTTACTTCTCCGACTACTGAACTTCCCCGATCCTTCATGAACTATTTGCCGGCATTTTATACCTTTAGAAGAACAAATAAAATAGATATACCACACATGGATCCCATCGGTACCGGTGAACTCCCAAATGATATGGGTATAGGTTGGGTTTCAAACTGGCTCAGGGGGGCCAAATCAGCCAATCCCATGGCTTCCAGTCCGCCAGGACTGGACAAGGCCAAATCGCTACTGGAGGCCAAATTGTGGCAAGATCCTCATGTTTCAAGCAAATTTTAGGCCTAAAATGGAGATGTTTCTGAATAAATTATGAACTTATTTATCTTCATTGGCTGACCTCACTGCTCACCACAAACGATTATTCGTAAGGGGAATCGTTCCACTTGGAGAATAGTGTTTTCTCAGTGTTGCGAGCAAGAAGCTTTTCCAAGAACAGAGAGAGTAGCCATAATTAGTAGATGAAAACCTCGACAATCTTGGGATACATGGGGTTGGGACGATGTGTTAGAATATGTTGGGATTGGACATGATCAGAGATATGTGTTCCATGATGCGGATACATGTGACAAGACTATAGATGGGATGAAGAAGTGAAGTAATGCCATGGATACGCCCCAAGATCTTGAAACCACCGTTTTTCACCTAGATATAGGGCGGCTTCCTTTGCATTTTCCCTTGCACCAATCATGGGAATAAATGGCAGGTGCAATCAGGTGCATATTCATGATGTTGTGGTCATGTGGCCAGACCAATCGTAAACATTCATAAATTAGCATGAAATGGAATTCGGAATCATGTATGGTAAATTGCTGGTTATTATAATCATCAATGGGATGGTTAAGCCGGTTTTGGGTGGCTTTCTCCACTGCAGCAATCCTAGCGCTCCAAATAGCCTCTGAGAAGATGTGTGGACACCAAAAACCATCAATAAAATAAGCCAAATACACTCTCAGCAGGTAACATGAGGCCAAAATTGTTAGGAACCGCAGAAGAAAAAATATGCGGATCTAGAATTGCATCCCATAGGGTATTGATCCATATATATATGGTGATATGATATGATATGATACACTTTATTTGATGTCATTTGTCACATTTATATAATAATAATTATTATTATTACTATTATTATTATTAGTAGTAGTATATTTATATATATATACATTATCAAAGGAAGTTGGGAAGCAATACTTCCGTGTTACGGACAAATAGAATTCTGCGACTGGAAATGATGAAGGGTGGTAGGTCATCTAACAATACATAACATAACAATACATAAGAAAAGAATAAGAAGCAGTGGAATTGACTTTGATGAAGGGTGGTGATAATGACGGGTGGTGACGAAGGGAAGTGGTGACGAAGGGAAGTGGTGACGAAGGGAAGTGGTGACGAAGGGAAGTGATGATGAAGGGGAGTGGTGACGAAGGGAAGTGGTGAAAGGGAAGTGGAAGTGGTGACGAAGGGAAGTGATGATGAAGGGGAGTGGTGACGAAGGGAAGTGGTGACGAAGGGAAGTGGTGACGAAGGGAAGTGGTGACGAAGGGAAGTGGTGAAGAAGGGGAGTGGTGAAGAAGGGGAGTGGTGACGAAGGGAAGTGGTGAGGAAGGGAAGTGGTGAAGAAGGGAAGTGGTGACGAAGGGAAGTGAAGAAGGGAAGTGGTGAAGAAGGGGAGTGGTGACGAAGGGAAGTGATGATGAAGGGAAGTGGTGAGGTGAAAGGGAAGTGGTGACGAAGGGAAGTGATGATGGTGAAGAAGTGGTGACGAAGGGAAGTGATGATGAAGGGAAGTGGTGAGGTAGTGGAAGTGACGAAGGGAAGTGATGATGAAGGGGAGTGGTGACGAAGGGAAGTGGGAGGAAGGGAAGTGGTGAAGAAGGGAAGTGGTGAAGAAGGGGAGTGGTGATGAAGGAAGGTAGTGAGGAAGGGAAGTGGTGGAGAAGGGAAGTGGTGACGAAGGGAAGTGGTGAAACAGGGAAGTGATGACCTTCTGTTGCATACATGTTGCATGGGCTATGTTTTGGGGAGGAAGCGGGAGCACGAAACCTTGTGTTTTTCCGTGTAAAGTGGCTGCAGCCGGCGATGAAAGGTACCTCGTTTGTGCGGCGGGTGCGGCTGGGGTCGTTTCTGTCGCGAATTGTTCCTCCTATGTCTTTTGCAACGAGTGGTTGTTCCTGTGTGCGTAGTTCTATGCGTTTCTTGAAGCTGTGGGCTGCGAAACGCATTGTAATGGCTGCATGAATGTTGCATGGGCTATGTTTTGGGGAGGAAGCCGGAGCGCGAAACCTTGTGTTTTTCCGTGTAAAGTGGCTGCGGCCGGCGATGAAAGGTACCTCGTCTGTGCGACGGGTGCGGCTGGGGTCGGTTTATCGTTTTTTTTTGCCGCAGTGTGACGGTGGCTTCAAGCTGCTTTGGGTGTGCTTGTGTGTGCGTAGTTATAGGGTGTTTTGGAATCTGTGCTTGCAGATCGCATTGGAATGGCTGCATGACTGTTCTCATTTGGTGTTCTGGTGTTGTTCTGTGCGTAGATAGGTGCAAGTTTGCGAGTTGATGCTGCGAACCGCATTGTAATGGCTGCATGATGTTGCATGGGCTATGGTTTGGGGAGGAAGCCGGAGCACGAAACCTTGTGTTTTTCCGTGTAAAGTGGCTGCAGGCCGACGATGAAAGGTACCTCGTGTGTGCGACGGGTGCGGCTGCGGTCGGTTTGTCGTTTTTTTTTTTTGCCGCAGTGTAACGGTGGCTTCAAGCTGCTTTGGGTGTGCTTGTGTGTGCGTAGTTATAGGGTGTTTTGGAATCTGTGCTTGCAGATCGCATTGGAATGGCTGCATGACTGTTGTCATTTGGTGTTCTGGTGTTGTTCTGTGCGTAGATAGGTGCAAGTTTGCGAGTTGCTGCTGCGAACCGCATTGTAATGGCTGCATGATGTTGCATGGGCTTTGTTTTGGGGAGGAAGCCGGAGCGCGAAACCTTGTGTTTTTCCGTGTAAAGTGGCTGCGGCCGGCGATGAAAGGTACCTCGTCTGTGCGACGGGTGCGGCTGGGGTCGGTTTATCGTTTTTTTTTTGCCGCAGTGTAACGGTGGCTTCAAGCTGCTTTGGGTGTGCTTGTGTGTGCGTAGTTATAGGGTGTTTTGGAATCTGTGCTTGCAGATCGCATTGGAATGGCTGCATGATGTTGCAATCGTCTTTTTCTCGCTTTGTTGTCGAGATCCGGTTTTGAGCTGCAATTTCCGACGCCATTGCACGTAGTTCTATTGTGTTTCGCAACTCAGTCTCTGCAGATCGCATTGGAGTGGCTGCGTCAAGGTTGCTTGGTGCAGCGGCTGCATGCGTAATACTATTGTCTTTTGCAGCTGAAGATTGTAAATGGTATGGAGTGGCTGCATCCAGGCTGCGAAAGTGAATTGTCAGCAGATTTTCCCAATTTTGGCGCTAATAATTTTCCTTTTAAAATTTCTTTTAAAAAGTGCTTCAAAATCGTCTTTTTTTCGCTTTGGCGTCGAGATCCGGTTTTGGAGCTGCAATTTCCGACGCCATTGCGCGTAGTTCTATTGTGTTTTGCTACTCAGTCTCTGCAGATCGCATTGTAGTGGCTGTGTCAAGGTTGCTTGGCGCAGCGGCTGCATGCGTAATACTATTGTCTTTTGCAGCTGAAAATCATAAATCGTATTGGAACGGCTGCATCAAGGCTGCGAAAGTGATTTGTCAGCAGATTTTCTCAATTTTGGCGCTGATAATTTTCCTTTTAAAATTCCTTTTAAAAAGTGCTTCAAAATCGTCTTTTTGTCGCTTTGGCGTCGAGATCCGGTTTTGGAGCTGCAATTTCCGACGCCATTGCACGTAGTTCTATTGTGTTTTGCAACTCAGTCTCTGCAGATCGCATTGTAGTGGCTGCGTCAAGGTTGCTTGGTGCAGCGGCTGCATGCGTAATACTATTGTCTTTTGCAGCTGAAGATCATAAATCGTATTGGAATGGCTGCATCAAGGCTGCGAAAGTGATTTGTCAGCAGATTTTCTCAATTTTGGCGCTAATAATTTTCCTTTTAAAATTCCTTTTAAAAGTGCTTCAAAATCGTCTTTTTGTCGCTTTGGCGTCGAGATCCGGTTTTGGAGCTTCAATTTCCGACGCCATTGCACGTAGTTCTATTGTGTTTTGCAACTCAGTCTCTGCAGATCGCATTGGAATGGCTGCGTCAAAGTTGCTTGATGCCGCGGCTGCATACGTAATACTCTTGTCTTTTGCAGCTGAAGATCGTAAATCGTATTGGAGTGGCTGCATCCAGGCTGCGAAATGGCTTTGTCAGCAGATTTTCTCCATTTTGGCGCTAGTGATTTTCCTTAGTAGAAGTACTGGGAAGTAATTCATGAAAGCTTAGATGACATATGAGAAGAGATGAGATGAGAAGAGATGAGCTGGGATAAGGTGAGAAGAGCTCAGATGAGATGAAGTGTGGAGTGTGAAGAGTGCAGTGTGAAGTGTGGGGCGTGAAGAGTGCAGTGTGAAGTGTGGAGTGTGAAGTGTGAAGTGAGAAGTGTGAAGTGTGGACTGTGAAGTGTGAAGTGTGGAGTGTGAAGTGTGGATTGGGGAGAGTGCAGTGTGAAGTGAGAAGTGTGAAGTGTTGAGTGCGAAGGGTGCAGTGTGAAGTGTGAAGACTGTCAAGTGTGAAGTGTGACGTGGGGCTTCAAGTGTGACATGTGAAGCAGGACACAACTTTCGCAGAGTGCACGCACGCACGGGCTTGGCTGGCGCACGGCGCATGCAAGTTCTATAGATGAGAAAGATCTCATATATATCTTTAAGGCAACTTCCGCCCCGCCTCGTGCGGGTACTACTGGTATATATTAATATTAGATTTAATTATGCACCTACAATACTTTATACATACATCTGGGTAAATCATAACGACCTCACCCCGACCTGACTGGAATCATGGTTAGTAAGGGGAATTATCCCAATATGGTCTTATTTCAGGTTAGTGGATTATTATCATTTGCCCAGACATATACTATATACATGATTATCATTATTATTCCCTACCATTTCAAAATTTGAGTACCGGGAATGCTTCTGGAATGCCCTCGAGAGGTCACGGGTGGCAACACATTCCTGGACCTCATCGCAAAACAGGAAGACCTGGATCGATTGGGAGCTGAAAAGAATTGGGGATTGGTCCAGGTACCTGTAAAATTCTCATATGTTGATGATTTTTGATACATAACTCAGACTTTTTATTGCTTTGCAAATTTGTTTGGATATACCTATGTGACGTTTCAAATAATATATTTTTGACCTATGTTCGGATGAGGATTCCAATGTACTTTCAGATTTTCGGGGATGGGTTGAAAGCTCCAGTTTCGGTTAGATACCCAATTCATATTGGATAGTTCAAACTCAATGCCTACCATGGCCAAACTTTGCGGCTTGCTCACAGATCAAGCAAACATTTGCAGGTTCTTTTGTGTATTGACAAAGGGGTGATTTTGTGCTGTTTAGTGCGCGATTTCCGCAAACTGTCAATCCCATGAGGCATTTGAGGCAGCTACTGCAACCGCTCCCGTGTGCTCCGTGTCCACTGATGTCGTCCGGCAGGTGGCTAACATGAAGAAGGAGTTCAAGACGGATCTGAAGTTCATGCTCATGCCATTTGATTGAATAAGCCGTCCACAGGGGGCAGCCAAAAGGAGGTCAACCAGCCCAACTGCGCCCAGGGTTGTGGAGACCATAGATATTTATTTTTACTGTATATACATACTTCTAAGGATGGAAGGGATATCATTGAGGTCTCAGGGACATGAAGGATATCATATATATATATAACTGTATGAGAATTTCCTGGACTCCCACCAGTGGTAATTTCTTGAACCCACCAAGATCCACCAAGTGTCCCTGCAATCAGTAGTGAGGCAGTTGAAGCTTTCAGGCTCCCACACTAAACCTGCGCGGCAGTAAAACTGAGTTTGGGGAAAATCAACAGAATCCACATGTCAGATCCATGGCAAAACCACCATGGGGGGTATATTATAGATATCATATATTGTGTTTCAGCTTTGCCACGTTCTTGGCAAAAGCAGATGACATCCCGAGTCGTGTTGCCTACTGGTTGACAAGTCTAATGTTGTCACTTTTTGTTTGGTACTTTTATAAATCCCCATTTGTATTGCTCTAACCCCAGTTTGTTGCTATTAAATCCCCAAGTTGTGCTAGTTAAATCCCCATGTGTGTTGCTCAAATCCCAAGTTGTGGTATACTTAAATCACAATATATCAATATGTACATACACACATATATATATATGACTTCTGGAGATGGCGACGGAGAGAGAGAGAGAGAGAGATAGATAGATACATATATATATATATTTACATATATATATAGATGTATATCACATTTCTTGTTGCTCCTTTAGCCATAGCCCAATGTGTTGTTTTTATTGCCATTTTGCGGATGATACCTCCTTCACGCCTGGCAAGGAACTCCTTTGCCACCTCTGCAGATACGTTGCTGGGCGTAGCACTTGGTAGCACTTGGACCACCAAAAAGATGGCAAAGTTAGAGGCTGCTATGATATTATTGTACCATCTATATGGGTTATATTTGATGATATTGCATGTGGGTTTAGTTATATGTATATAGATGATAGTTATATATATATACATATATATATATATATGTACTATTTGGAGTTGAACGATTTCATAATGTGGCCACCGTCATCATGGTTGCAGGTGAGTATGATTAACTTCAGCCAGTGATATGCATTTGTTTGCAGGTTTCTTTTGAAACAAACACAACAATGTATTGTTTATATAGATGGATAGATAGATAGATAGATAGGTAGATAGACAGATAGATAGATAGATAAATAGATAGATAGATAGATAGGTAGATAGATAGATAGGTAGATAGATAGATAGATAGATTGATCGATAGATAGATAGGTAGATAGATAGATAGATCGTTGCATGTGTATATGACGGGGTTGTGCTTTTCATGGGTTGCGATCTTAAGTTCGTGTTTTTGACTTGAGCATGATTTACCTTGGTCTTCACAAGCCTGTGCTGGTCGGCAAACATTTTGCCACGAGATGGGGTCCATGTGAAGATGTTTTGCCGAGATTCTCGAAAATAGTACCTATATCTCCGTTCCTCCGGCCAGCTCAAATACTGGTCCATATCTCCTGAGGCTATCTCAAGTTTTGTTTCATGGAAAGTGATCATAGGAGTGGCCGGCAAGGCTGGAAGCCTTGAAGAAGTACACCGATCTGGGCACTGGGTGGCCGGCCCCAGCATGCTTTGCATCAATCGAAACCCTTGATACAATAAGTGGAACCGTGGTTCTGTTTGGGTGGCATTAGAGGAAAGGGATGACCAACAATGGCTGAAATTGGCAAACATGTGTGGTTCCCGGGGCCTGAAAAATGCCCCATACCCAAGCATCGCATCCAGGTCAGACTTGGAGTTTGTGCAGAACAAGGCGACTTGGATTTGATCCTGCTGATCAATGCTGGTCGCCTGAGAAAATAGAATGGTTGGTCTGAAAATAGGGTACCCTAAAATCCAATAGTTGATAGTCATATTCTCCATGAAAGTAGCTATTTAGGTGAATACCCAGTTTTCAGAGACACGCCCAGATGTTCCTGTCCTGCTTGGAGATCATGGCAGCAAGATCTGGTTTCATCTCAGTGGTCTGACAATTTGTTGGTTTAAAACAACAACGCAACTCAAGATCAAAGTCCAAAAATCCATGAACATCTCATCAATATCAAAGTGCATGAAAATCCCATGGTTTCTGATGGTTTCTCATCATTTACCTTAGTTGCCACATGTTGCCACCGAGCTAGGCGCCCAAGGTCACGGAAAGTGACCTGTCACCAGCGACCTGGGAGAAGGAGCTTGCGGGTTCAAATCAAGGGCGATTTCACCCCTAAAAATTGTAATTTCATGGGATATAGCCAGCTGGTTGCTGGCTAAGTTGGTCAACATCACTAGGCTAGGCTTGGGTAGGTGATTATGACTATAGTTAATTGGTCCAGACCCACCTGTGATTTGGGGGGGCCCACCTTGGACTTACTAATCGGGTTGAAGCACCAAATAGCGAGACTAAACTGGGGAGAGATTTCTGGGAACGACCACATCAGACATGTTGAAAAACAAGTTGAGCTCAAAAAGGATCAGATTGAGCTAGCTGCATATGTAGCAATGATCAAAATAAATATGGATGATGAAAGATGCATATACAGATACATGTATACACGTGCATACACGTGCATAGCTCAGTCAGTTCAGTTTATCCTGAAGGACCCAGTCTCACCCAGCCTCACCCAGCCCCTGTCGTGTTTTCAAGATTCATGTAGTCAGTTTTAGTATAGGTTTGAAATATGTCAAGAGTGAAGGCTTGCTGCTGGTCTCAGACGTGTTTTTCCCTCCTGCGATCATGATCCCAGTTCACGATTTTTTCGTATGGTCCGAACGCGACAGAGAAGGCACCATGTTCTTTCCATAATGATATAATGGCCGTTATTTAACCGTGGCTAAAAATGCAGCTCGGAGGTTGCTACAGCCAAAATCTATTTGCCGTGAAAGCCACTGATTGAGATAGAGCGCACAAGGTCTTGCCATTGATTCCCCGTCGCAAAGGAAGATGGCACTGATACGACAGCAGCGTTTTTGTTGGTATCGTCTCGTGGTTGGTGGCCTTATTTGTTCTCCATGCCTGAGATGCTTTTCTCTCCAATGACTGGATCTCTATGGCAATTCCCCTTAAACAGATAGAAGGACAATCCCTGAAATACTCCAGAAGCTACTTCTATCTATTTCTCAATTCTTGGGGGGGTTACAGATGCAAAACATTTATAAACATTTGGTGTCTCCCCCATCCTGAGGACCGTATATCACCATGCCCCAGGATTCGTCGCACGAGTGGTGTCCTCCAGGCCATGGTGACTTGTACCCAGCCATGCTGGGCAGTGGCACGTTGTGGTGCCCAGGGACACCCAGGGCATGTCCTAACAGTTTGCGAATTGGAAAGTGGCCATAGAAATAGTTGAAAACTACCCATTAGCATTGTGATTTTACAGTTCGTTACGTTAACGTTTACCAGGTTGGGTAGTTTCGGATGGTAGAATTGCATAGAATTGTGGAATGTTCCAAATCCTCATTGAGTGTCCATTGCCATGTTTGATTACTGGAGGCAAAGCATATATACTGCCATATGACTGCCTGCACAAAGACAAAGGACACAAAACATAGCACAGTATCCAAGCTAGTGCCTATAGTTTGGTGCCATAGCCACATTGGTCAGCTTGACGACGTGGCACGCAACTGATTGACTTGGCAATGTGGTAAATCCATAAACTGCCTCATAAACCCATTGTTTCAGAATTGGGGATGGTTTGTTTTCAAGTTTGTCACCTCAATCAGACGGACTATACGTTTTCAGGTTTGCCATGTAATACTGGTGGACCCTGCACATGGCACCCCACTTTCTGCGGCCCGATTTTCACTCTTTGAATCTGAGGCTGGACAAGCTACTGAAGAAGGGCTACAGGCAGCTAGCGCTGTTGATTGCTAGTATCTGATTTGATTGGTGGTTTGGAACATTTTTTTCCATATATTGGGAATAATCATCCCAACTGACTAATATTTTTCAGAGGGGTTGAAACCACCAACCAGTTTGAGTCAGCACTTCTTAACCCACCTCGTTGGGCAAACTCTATTCCATGTCGTTTGTGACAGCCTATTCACCAACTACTCCCACAGAGAGATGGGCATAGATTGGTGCATTTCTGAAAAACAGATGCCAGGTATATGTTTGTGTCCAACTCCGACAACCTGGGAGCCACCATGGTTGCTTGACCTGTGCTAATCCGTCGTTGTTTTTTTCCTGATTTTTTTTTCCGCCCCCTGTGCCAGAAACATTTTTTTAAGGAATTTATAGCTGATTCATTTTACTTGTAGATAAGTTGGTGTACTTTGGTGAAGAGAAGTCGAACAACTGGGGTGTATGGCACTTACAACATCCTATAACTATAGTTACCCTCTGGTAAACTAACATAACTATGGAAAATCACCATGTTTAATGGGAAAATCAACTATTTCTATGGCCATGCTCAAGAGCGATGTTTGTCATTACCAGAGGGTAATGGGGTTTATCCAACCTTGTAACTGATGGATCTAAGGAGCCCCACCTTGTGGCATATGATGTGTAGAACCCGATGGTGATGGTGATGCCAATGGGGCGAATTGTGACGCGAATTCAGCCACCAAGGCTCAAGTCATTTTCCACACTTCTCCCCATATTTGTTGGTCAAATGAGTCAAATGTCATTATTGATTATGAATTATCAATATGTATATAAATATATATATATGCATACACATACTTTATATATATAGAGAGAGAGAGATTCATATATATATAGATTCCCATATAATATGCATCATCAAATCCAGTTGTTCCATCAAGGGGATGGTCGGAACGTTCCCGCACCGAGGACTTAAAGATCTTGGCCCACTTCGTACAATCTGAGGCCGGGTAGACCTGGGAAAAAACTTGATCGATCTGGAAAATATCTGGGTTTTTACCATCAAATATCATGTGTTCCATCAAATATGTAGGTTTTTACCATCAAATTAAGGGAAAATCTGCAGGAAACCCATGGTTTTTACATGTTTTTACCATCAATTCTAGGAGTTTCCTGTAAATGTTCCCATCATCCAATTCTGTGACACTCTTAGGGGTTTCCATAAATGGGATACCACTATTAAAATGGACGGTTTATGTCATGGAAAATCCTATTAATTAAAATGGATGATTTAGGGGTGCCCCCATTTTAGGAAACACCTATATGTATGAATTAGCTAGATTTCATATAGCGCGGTATTTGCGTATGAGCCTTCCACCAATATGAGTGTCTCCAAATATTCAGTTATCCTAAACTGTTCCTCAGCAATGCTGCAAATCTTCCTAGTAAAAAGTGTTTATGGAGCCTCCCAATCTTAACGCCAGCACGGGGCAGAACTTAGGATCAACGTTTTGCTGCAGGAGGGGCAAATCTTTTGCAGCAAATACCCCCCTGATCGTCTTACAGTCATAAAAAAAACTGAGAAACACATAGAAAAGTAAACCATCAAAAGATGTGTGTAGAGAATTGCTTTCCATGAGGATTCCCACAAGTCCGGCTGAAATCCAAACGTAACATGGTAAATATAGAAGAATGGATCTATTATACGTACAGCGCCGAACCCGAATTCTGAAACCAGCTGCCCTATGCTGGCCTCTCCATGCAATGGACGTTGTCCGAGCACCATACGATACCTAATTTGCAACCATGTCCACCCAACAACACATTGAGTTTTGTCAGTGAAAACTTGTTTGGATTAAATATACATTAATCCAAAATGTAAGAAATCCAAACAACACATTCAGTTAAACAACATTCCTCGGATTTCTGTCATTTTGGAACAGAGCCCCATAATGTTGGCTGCCTAATAATAAATACCCCCCCCTAAATTTTAATTTTTTTAAAAATATTTTAGGGGGGGGGTCAACCTTCCTATAATAATCTATTTGTGGGAATCTATAGCTGGGATCATGATATGTAATTACTGTATCTGATTGATTCTCCATGGTTTTGTTGGGTTTCTGTTAGATTCTGCATAGGGTTTGGTTAGATTTCTGAGATGTTTCTGAATGGATTTGGTTGGGTTTCTGAGAGATTGGCGAAGAGTTGGCAAGGCGGAAGTGGACATGGAAGTGGGGGCAGAGGTGGTGGAGGCGAAGGAGGAGGACGAGGAGGAGGAGGAGAAGAAGGAGAAGAAGGAGAAGGAGAAGGAGGACAACAAAATTGGAGTTGCGGAAAAAAGTTTCCACTATTGCCATGCCTGGTGCAGGTTTGTTATTGCTATTCTGGGGCTTGCAAAGGGGGTACCCTTTGTGGACCTGTTTTCTTGCTTTTTTTAATAAGGGTTTTATAAGGAAATCAGCTGTTTGGTAATTGGATCAGATTTCTGGAATCTAAGCTTTTGCTAATCAAAAGTGAAGGCTGCTTTGAAAAGGATTTGCTTTACTTGACTCTTTTGGCAATACTAAAAGTAAATAGAGCTAATTAACTTTTAGTATTGGAGAAAAAAATGGAGTTGGAAAAAAAGTTTCTACTATTGCCATGTTGGGTCCATTATTGGCCATGCCCTCTGGACAAGGTCTGAACATGACTATTTTGGCAATACTAAAAGTAAATAGAGCTAATTGACTTTTAGTATTGGAGATAAAACTGGAGTTGCGGAAAAATGTTTCTACTATTGGCAAGATATCACTATTGGCTGGACAACATTAGATGGTTTGATTGGTTGTATCACCCAACGGTGAATCCTGACGACCCGACGTCACTGACGATGGTAGGAGGACCTCCCCAAAATTGACCACTTTCAATGGATTGGTTTAAGGGAAAATCTACAGGAAACCAATGTTTTTTACCATCAAGTCTAGGAGTTTCCCGTAAATTTTCCCATCATCCAATTCTGTGATAAATAATCCAAAAATGATGAACCGATTTGGGCCAATTGAACTTCTATGAATGAACCAAATTGATCAGATGATGTTCCATTTGATTACTGAATTATGACCCACAACAAGCAGGTTAGTTACCAACCTGTTCGATTGGACTTCGGCACCAATCCATTGAAATCCCCTGTTGGGTGAACCCAGTGAACCTTCTATGTTTCACCATTGATGCTTCAATGTCCATTGTTGATGGTGAAATTTGCATTTCTGAGAATGAAATTCTAATTTTTGACAGTTAAATCCCAATTTTTGAGGCTTAAATCCCAAGATTTCATTGCCATAAACCCGTATCAACAACTATAAGCCCCTCAACTGCAAGGTGGTGCCCAATTTCTCATATATAGTTGGGGATGTGTCAAAACATGTCAAAACCTACTATCTTACCATATCAATCAGCTCAAAATCCAATGAAATCCCCATTTTTCTTCGTGAAGTCGCCATTTTTCCGATGGTTTTTGGGCAGCCCTGGGGTGTTTGGTCATCCTGGGGCTCTTCCTGGCTCCGCAGGCTCCCTTCATGATGGAAGTTGCTGAACGCACCGACGCCGCACCCTGGTGGAAACTAACGTGAAACTAACACAGTTAATGGTGGTGTAATAAGTTGTCATGGAATATTAGATGGGATATCATGGAGTATTGCTGGAAATCCTCTATGAACGGAGGTTTACAGCTAGGAATTATAATCTACATTTTTTCTAGCTAGTCACAGCTAGCCATGATGTTAATTCTCAGCCATAGTTGGGTTTTAGATGATATTCCCAGGTGATAATTGGTGATATTGTGTTTTATCTTTGTTAATGTTCAATCATAGTTGGGATTATAATCCCAGTTGACCAGAAGACTTGTGAGGGAATTGAAATGACCAGCTGGAGTAGATAAAGCCAGCAAACAAGATTGTTTAAGCATGTAATACCTCGTATAGCAGATGTACCCTCCGAATAGCGGTTGGCAATTGGACATCCCTTATGAAGGTTTTCATGGGAAATCAGCGCTATAAATCGGGGATGTCCATCGCCAAGTTTGATTAACGGATTGTAGAGGAAACATCATCAAGTATATATATATACATGCATAACAAAACATGTATATACATATTATATAAATATACACTTCAAAACATGTATATATAATTTATATATATATAATTTTATACATATATATATATATAGATACATATGTATATATATATAAATTTAGATACATACATTTATATACATTTATAGAGAGAGATAGGTAGATAAAAGATAGATAGATAGATAGATAGTTAGATTAGATTAGATTAGATTACATTAGATTAGATTAGATAGATTAGATAGATAGATAGATAGATAGATAGATAGATAGTTAGATTAGATTAGATTACATTAGATTAGATTAGATTAGATAGATTAGATAGATAGATAGATAGATAGATAGATAGATAAGATAGATAGATATATTAGATTAGATAAGATAGATAAGATAGATAATAGATAGATAAGATAGATAAGATAGATAAGATAGATAAGATAGATAAGATAGATAAGATAGATAAGATAGATAGATAGATAGATAGATAGATAGATAGATAGATAGATAGATAGATAGATAGATAGATAGATAGATCGATCGATCGATCGATCGATATAGATAGATAGATGCATGTATATATGTGTATATATACAGTATATATATATCGATCAATTTAACTAGGTCGGTTAAGATTGCTATTTTGATGACTTTAAGAAAAGCCCGGGGATGTTCTCAGCGTCTGAGGACAAGAAGGGCGGTCACCTTGCACAGAGCAAGGTTCGGCAGCTGATTCCGTCGCTGATTCCGTGGTGATTTCAACGGGGTTTGAACCGAACATAACAAGCTGTGAAGCAAAAGATGGGATGCGAAGCAAAATAAAAGAATAGGATTACTTTATCATAACTGGTTCAACTTATATATTTCATAACTGGACAATGATAAACAAAAGATGCTGGATTTTTTGCTAGTGCTTTCCTGTTGATGTTTCATCCTAGGATGCTGATCCCAGTAAGTGCACGACGGATGTGGTTGCCAGTTCAGACGAGATCATTGGGGCGGTTGCATGGATCCATATCATTTAGTTTGTTTTCGGGATGATTCAAGAGAAAACTTAGAGGAAACCGCGTGTTCCTTTTGTTTTGTTCCTATCAATCATTGCTGTTCCCTTCAAATTTCCCTGGAACCAATCGACTAAGTTCTGGAGTTCTTGTGCTTTAAGAGGGTGCGAGTCTCAACTACGCTTCTATAAAGTTACAGAGAAACTGACACAAACCTCGCAAAATTGGGCTTTGAAAGGTGCCGTTTGTTACATGTATTTTTAATTATGTTTTTGTGATTTGTGATGTAATTGTCGAATATGTTCCACCATGATATGCAATTTTCCATATTGTATCCATTTACTTTCCATATATTTTCCACGTTTGTTTCATTTATGTTCCAGTTTTTTTCAATTGGTTTTCCATAAATTTTCCATAATATACTGTGTTAGTATATATATATATCATCCGTATATTTTCTACAGTATTGATTGCTCACATAGTTTCCAGTTCTTTGCCCCTTTGTTCCATCTAGTTGTCCATATCATCTTCCATATGTCTTCCAAAATTCATTGGATTGGTTTAAGAAACAAATTACAGGAAACCCCCATATTTAATGGTAAAAACCATGGTTTCCTGTAGATTTTCCCTTAAAATCCATTGAGCAATACCGAGAGCAAGATCGATCCAGGCAGGTGGTGGACTCTTGCTGCGCGAGTCGGCACAGTGCCCTGAAGCAGATGAGAAGGACAGGAAGCGACCTGGAGGTGGCCGTTGCCATTTTTGGGGAAGCCAATTGGGTGGGATACCTATGGATACCTATATGGTTTTGATTTGGATATTAAGTTTGAAACTTGATGGTGATATTTGTTGAGATATCATAATACTATCATTATCCATCCAACTGGATTCCTAACGAATATTCTCCGCGGTGATGTTTCTGCATTTTTCGGTGCCACGAAGCTTTAAGATTCGCCATGCTATGGGAGGCTTGCGGGAAGGGGATGCTTAAGTAATTTGTTGATGTGTGTATCTATGTAACTAATATGAATAGATTCGATATGATTTGTATATATTTGGATAGCATACCCATTGCCCTCCAAACGTTGATGTTGAAGCGATGGTCTTGTTTTTTGGTTGATGCCGAATGGATCCCCCTAGGATCCGGTTAGATTATAAATAGTCTTTTTAGGTTATCATCCATGATTTCTTGATGATAGTCTATCTAGATTATTTTGAAAGCTTATCACGAAATCACGATAAGCTTGTGCAAGGTTAGTCCTTGTCCCTCTTTGGGGAAAAAAAGTAGACACACAAGATAATTTGTGAAAATCGGAGAAGGACATGGACACTGGAAACGGAAACGAGATGACGAAAAAACCAGTCTGATTCCAATGACGGAATTTTTTTTTCACTCAATGCATGACACTGAAAGTGCAGATTTTCCTTTGAATTAGTGCTTTGAATTAAAGCGAACTTTAAATCGCAGTATTGCTGTGCATTTCAGTGTGCATTTAGTGTTTCCAAATCACTTGTGTGCGTCGATGCTTCACCAGAATCAGGTAACGAGCCAAAGTATGTGCTGAAGTTGAATCCTTGGATTGCGTTGGAAGACAAATGTTTGAAATCTGACACATGGTAACTTGAATCCAAATGAGGCAAGTTACGCATCTCAGGAGGTACTGGATGTGGCGCTCAATACGTTGTAGATTCATGTGATTGGACAAGTACGACTGGATTTGCAGCGGGATTGACCGTATTCGTTCTGGTCGACCATTGGAAGCTCCACCGCCTTGGCGGCGTTTGATTGGAATGCAAGTGGGCGGCTTCATCTCGAGTAAACGCTGCTTCAATGGCTGCAGACATGTGTGGTTTGAAAAAAGGACACCACATGGAATAAGGAGACTGGAAACAGAAACGGACACGGATCAGTGGCACGATTATCGAAACTGAAAGGGAAATTTCCATGGACCTTGAAACGGGAAACGGACATGTTTGACTTAACTGCGTTGCGTTTTTTTTCCTGCAGAGTCAGCTGAGCTGGATGCACTTCACGTCTGAGCTGGGAAACCAGCTTTCCTTTAGATGATAATTAAAAGAGACTCCAACTGAGTTGCTTTGCAATCAAGTTGTTTTGGCCTTTTTGGCGATGGACTCAATGTACTCTCGAGCATCTTTGTGCGCCGCTCGACGGGTCTGCACGTCAGTGAATTCCGGTTGTTTGTACACTCGTGACGCAAAATTTTTTGCCGTCATGGTTAAACCTTTGGACTCACCATATGCACGGAATGCTTGCAAGGCTTCGTCTTTACTTGCTTTGCCGAGGAGTTTCCACCATGCTTTGGAACTAGACTGCTTTGGAGAGACATTCGTCACAGTGCGACGCACCACGCGTTTCTCCGAAGCTTCCGATGTAGTAGGTGTCCGCAGTGTAGGAACGGATGCGATGAGAACTTTCTCGGCCATTTTCTTGGCGGAAGCGACTGCTTCTGCGAAGATATCATGGTCTGCACAAAATGCAGCTGCGTCTGCCTGGCGAAGGTGTTATTTTCTTGCAAGGACAGCAGAGCAGACCCAAAACTAGATGCTGCCAAGGAACGCTCAGAAAATCCAAAGAGGATTTGGCGGCGGGATCTCGCCACAGCACGATTGAGGAATCTTGGTGGTTCGATGGCGTGGCGACGGCCATGTTGTTGACTTCCGTTTGCCACGAGTTGGCCGAAGGATTTGACAACTGCTCTGAACTCAGAAACGAAGGTTGTAAGCAACGACACAGACGCGCAATCACCTCGTGCTGCTGTTGGGTCAATTTTTTGGCTAAAACTTCCCATCCACCGTTCACACTCACCAAGTCGCGAAGTTTTGCAACCATTTGTCTAAGCTTCATGAAGAAGAAAGTGATCGTTGCTTGGACGCTCACTTCTTGGCTCCACTCGAACTTGTGCTCTGCGCTATAGGCATAGAAAGCAGATAGCAACATGGCATCCGGTATAAGACCATTTTTGCACACTTCCAACAACGGTCTGAGGAGTGGTTCCAGCTGCACGTAAGCTGCCGCATGCTTGGATGCTGCTGTTTTCCAATTCATTCCTTCTAGAAGTGGCAAAAAGACCAAAAGGCTTCTGTGTCCGATAGTCTTGAAGCCCTTGTCCAAAGCATTCTGCAAAGCATGAACAGACACGCCGGGCAAGACCTTAAGTCTTTCTTGCATCGCCATTGTCCTATATCAACTGACTGTCAAATGCTGCAGGGAATGTGGAAGAAAAAACATGGAAACAATGTTTTCGTCTCGCAAGACAAACAGAAACGGAAAGACAGACACGGAAAAGGACAGAAACACTGAAACTACGATGTTTTGCTCACTTCAACTGCCAAGACTCTGCAAGGTCCATAGACAAAGCAATATTGTAACGCTCGATGAATTTGTGCAACGAACTCAACATTCCACGACCTTTCAAGCACGCTTGCATCAAAACTTTGCAGGACGACATAAAAGATTCTCCCGAATAACACCAGGTCCAGCGTGGGTTGATGTACTGCGCCAATTCAGCCGAGTGAAGCATCCAGTGGCCCTTGAAAGTGTCAGCTTGAAAGAGTTTTCTATTTTCTTGATTCCAGTAATGGTTCTGCAAGGCGACCATACAAACAGAATACGTTTTGGTACATGTCATGAAATCCGAGTGTACCTCGGGTGTCAACTTCCATTCTGCACTGTGCCTTTTCAAGATTATATCCATATCCGCTGAAGCTTGCAAAGAGAGTTTGATCCAAACGTGTGCTTTGTTGGTATGATCCATCTTCTGTTGCCAAAGATGTAAGAAAGCTACTATGCACGCAACGGATTCGGCAGCTTTCACCTTGAGCTTCGGATACTTCTTCCGGCACTGTTTATCATTCACGTCACAGAACATTCCCAATGTCAAGTTATTCAAGCCGCTGCGACTTTGCGTTGCAGACCAGAAAGCCTAAGACAAAGAAACGAAGCGAAACATAAAAACAGAAACCAGCATTGCTGTAACCAGTTTCTTGCTTGCAGCCAAGGCACCTTTGCTTCATGCAAGAGTGTTTGCAATCGATGCTCCAAACTTTCTGTGCTTGGGAGCTCAAAGATCATCATCCACACCACGCTTCCAAGCAGACGCAAGTCACAACCGAGATGTTTGGTGTGCATATAATCTGGCGCAATACTTTGCGGACTCATCAAAGATTGAAACAGTGGACATGGATGACTCCTAGGTAGACTCCAATCATCTGCTTGCAACGCCAAAGTCTCAAACGGCGGCACGTGTTGCAAAGCCTCCTTGGGCACAGAACACAGACAACACGGCCGCGATGCATTCCAACGAGCCACATGATGAAAATCACCGAAATATTCCAAATCACCGGTGGTCCAGATAACTACTGGAAAAAAGCCTCCAGTGGTTTGACAGTCCATCAAGGCTTCAAACGAGCGTGCGATACGTCGGAAGATGGCTTTTGACGTATTGAACCTTCCTTTGCTGCAGGCCATTGTCCACACCGCCGCCATCAAGAAATGGATGCTAGCGGTGGCTACCAAGCTGCGAAATGATAGAAACAAACAACTCTTGGAGTTAGATCCTATGTGCATGGTGACGGCCGCCCCGTCGCCATGCAAAACCACAGGAACCGCTCTCTTTGCGTAGTTTTGGATGGTCTTCACCGGATGGTTGAGCAAAGCCGGATGTTGACCACAAGCACTCCAAAAGGACGGTAATGTTCGAGCATCTTCCAGAATGTATTTTTGGAAATGTTTGG